TAAGATGAACTAAATCCCTGCTTTCAGCCCTCACTGCTCCTCGCACCGCCTCCAGCTGCGCACATTCCAGTTTCTGTCGCTATTTTTCATGGCGTATTCAGTTGGCGCCTCTTTTTACGTTTATTTTATATTGCGGTATTGCAGGTAAGCCGTTGTTAGTTCACTCTTTGTCCATTTTGTCCACCACCCCAATCTCTGGATGCCCTGCAAAAAGCTTCTGGTCGACAAAAAATTGGGCTGGATATGTGCGAGCATAAATTGTAGGTGTGAAACCATTTTCGCTCTAATACAGATTTCAGAGCATTTTACATCGGTGTCGCCTATAAAGCCAACGGGCGTATGGAAATTTATGGGGAACAGAAAAAATTCAAGGAATGTCCTACTGGATGGCTGTATTCGGAAGAGTTTTCAAAGTGTTATTTTGTGGGTAACACTTGCTTAATTTATTTATTTAGCTTCCTGTCTTTCGCACGCTCTCTCTCTCTCTCTTTCGCTTCCTCTCTTTCCGCCGTGGGGCTATCCCAAATATTAAAATCAACTCGATTTCTTACCAATTTAGATGATCGATGACATGGAGTACGATTCCGCTGCCAGACGTTGTGAAAAAGAAGGTGGAACCCTTGTTGCCATCGACAGCCGTGAGGAAAACGACTTCATCCGAAGTACGATTGCTCCTAACCTTAGCAATACACAGTCAGATCTCACAAAAATTGGGCCGAAAGACCCACCCAAATGACGGTGGACTATTGTACGGTATGAAAAGAGTGGTGAGTTTTTTTACTAATGCCCTACGATCGATTTCCATAGCATGCATATGCCTGGGAAAAACAGTATAAAACAAATATAAAATCTCCAAGGAAAATTCATCGGCTCTTGTCTCCCCAAATGGCATCAAGCTCTTCTACGAAAATTTCAACTCCGGCGAGCCGAACAACGTTTTTGGCTCGGATCTGTGCATTGCGGTAGGTATTTTATTAACTGCCTATTAAATCACTATGTATTTGTATTTTTCTGTCTAGATGTACACGGACTGGACCTACGGGTGGATAGGAGAAAGCGCGATCGGAAAATGGAATGACATTCCGTGTGGTTGGAAGCAAAGGGTTTCGGTTTGCGAAAAGCGACTGGAATGAAGCTATCAATAAAGTACAATGTTTTACTTTCAGAGTCGATTACGGCAAGTAATAAAGGGTTCAAACAGGACGCTCAAAAACTCAAACCACAACGGTTATCGTCACAGAGAACCGAGGCGTGAATTGCGCTTGAAATTTTTGAACCAGGTTTCTCATTTTTGACTACTTTATAAGCCGTAGGGCCAGTTTTCAGCCAGATTTTATAACATATCAGCGCTGCCTCCGTGGGGGTTCAGCGCTGGCCCTCCCGGGGGAAAAAGACAAAACGTTAGAGCACCGGTGAAAATTTTCAGCCCCCGACTACGGTAGACAGGGGGATCGCGGCGGGATTGAATTCCCGGTCGGCGGGATCACGGACATCAGAAATTTACGTATAGTAGATATTACACCGTTTTTAGCGATAGTAGCCCTAAATAAACCTAACAATATGCTTTTCAGCCCCTGCGATGCAGCCAGGAATTTAAATGGACACTTTTCCGGGTACCCACGTTGTTTTTGGTCCCGCATCTCATCTGCATTATTGGGATTTTTTGATGGGCTGTGCTAACACTGGTAGAAGCGGTCGTAAAAGCAGGCAAGAGCAGAGAAAGCCAATCCAGCATCGTTTTTCCTTTTGGGCAAAAGATAAACAATTGGCTGCTCTTTTCCGACTCCTGAAAAGGCGTGGCGCGCCTTGTATCGTGCCTAGTGATTTTTTGATTTGTTGTAGTTTTTGTCTCGAATAAATTGAAACGAATCTCGGTACTGTTTCAGGCCCGCGGAGTTTAGTGGAATGCACGTACTAGCTAAAATATAGCTTAACTTATTGGCTAAGAAACGAACTTACAAATTACCGTAATCCCAACACACCAATCAACAGCTAAACATAATTGTACACAGCAGCCCGGAGGAACTTCGATATTTGAGTTTTGAGCGACAAGAGCATAATCGACCGATGTTAGGTCGGTAGTATCAAAAATTTTAATGAATATGACAAGAATTATGCTAGTATTTTGATTAGGCCGGAAGCTCATCATGATCTCTTGCGAACTATGTTCCGGAATGCTTCAACGGGCCCATCACATCGCGATATAATACGATGAGCTCTCCCCGATACGGCCGCCCCAATTGTTTTTAGTTGCTTGGCGAGTAAACTTGCGAAATGTCAATTCAATTCCGGGTCCTGAAGGAATTGAAGCCTCCAGAAGAGAATAAAAAAAGAAGAAGTTTAAAATAGCAGAAGGCTGGTGGGTTTGCTTACCATACAAGAAGGTTTAGTGCATGCAATTTTCGAAAAATCGACTCTTTTAAAGGACATCTATCACTTCACCAATTTTAATTTGCATTTGTTTGATTTATTGTGGAAAATACGCTAGTTTAGTACTTTTGGACCAGTATAACAATATATTTTTGCCTTCGATTAGTTTAATTGTCTTGTCACTTGTGATAGGTACGAAACGCGCGGAATTTCCTACACAACCGCCCGAAAACGATCTCCACCCCTGACTCTTGGCCTCGGGCCGGGCTTGTGTTTATCAGCAATCCTCCACTTGTTTATTGCCCAAAAAAAAAGAAAATTGGCACTTGATCTTCCAAAATAAATCAAATGTGCTTTTCCGTTTAGGGCGCGTGTCTGCCAGCAACCGTAAGTTTTTAAATCAGCGGACGCAATAGTTACGTCTCAAAATCAACCATTCAATATATTAATTCTAGGCACACGTGCGCGGTCAGGGACTCTCAACTACGCATCTTTCAGCTCTTGGCGCTGACCTTCATTGCGTATTCGATCGGATCAGGCATTTATATCTATTTTATACTTCGGTATTGCAGGTAGCAGTGTCTTCGCTAAAGATTCATAACGACAAACAAATGCAGACTTTTACTTTTGCCAAGTAACCAAATTTTGCAGCGCTTCACCCTATCCGCGGAAGCCTGAAAATAGCGGACTATGTTAAACAAGAACTAGCCCTGGACCTATGCGACCAAATGTCAGCTACCAAATGTCAGATCATTTACATTACCGATCTCAAGCCGATAAAACGGACCGCCAAATGATAGCTTATGGAACGCGGAAGAAGTTCAAGGAATGTCCGCCCGGATGGCTTCTTTGGAAAAAGTTTTCTAAATGCTATTTGGTGGGTAACGGCACGCTCTCGCACTCCGTCTCTCCCTCTCTCTCTCCCTTTCTCTCTCTCTCTCTCTCTCTCCTTCTCTTTCCTCCTACTCCGCAACCTCTACAAAATTTGTGTCTAGTTTATCGATAATGCAGTTTACGAAGAAGCAGCCGATAGATGCAAAAAATTGGGTTCAACCCTCGTTTCCGTAAACCGTCACCAGGAAAACGAGTTTATTCGCGGTCGGCAGCCTTTGTCTAAGATATATAAATGCAGATTTGGCAAAGATCGATCTCAAACCAACACAAGCGGCGGAGGACTGTTGTACGGGATCAGACGGGTTTTAGGTCTTATTCTCTAAAGTTTGGACATAATTGGGCTAGGGCTTGTTAAGCTTCCGCAAGTGGTCTGATTTTTGCGATTAAAAGACCTAGGCAAACTCGTCGACCCTGATCGCCGCCAGTGGCGCAAAGCTCTACGACCAAAAATTTCGTAACGGAACGAGCCGAGTGACGTCAATGCTAGCGCCCACCTCTGCATTGCGGTAGATTTCAGTCTTTCCCTCTCGCTGGCTCTCTCTCTCACTGGTTCTCTCTCTATCTCTCGCTTTCTTTGGTTACCTTCGAATATTCAGATGTACACCGATCTGACAAACGGTTGCATATGCGGGCTGCAATTGGGAATCGAACGATGTCCCGTGCGAATGGCAACAACGCGTTTCGGCTTGTGAAAAGGCTGGTGAAGGTATCGTCAAATTGATCATTCACTGGCATTGCGAAAATGCTTCATTAATATTCTACAGGATATCCGATAAAAGAGTTCCCCTCTGATAATATGCGACCTGGATTGTTTTGTCCTAACGCGCAACACCAGAAAGGTGGGCACTTAACGATCATTGGAAACCAAAGAGTTCGGAGAGAGGCTGCAGAATAGCACCTCTTCTATAACAACAACTGGCTTACTGGCATGCGCCACAGGGACTTCAGTTCCAAATAAGATAACGTTTTTCCCGATTATACACAGGGTTTCTTTGGCGGCGAAGGCTACTCATTTGCGCATGCCAAAAAAGGGGGTAAATAAGGGGGGTGAGGCGATTTGAGGGCAGCCACAGTATTCCGCAAAGCTCCGTACTTCATGCCACTGATATTGGCTTGAAAAGAAAGGTCTGATACCGGTTTCGGGCAATGGAACTTGGCACCTTTCAAATAACGTCAATCAAAGCTAACAGCCAACAAAAAAATTGGTACGATGGAAGAGACAGAGAGAGAGAGAGAGAGAGAGAGAGAGAGAGAGAGAGAGAGAGCGAGGGAGAGAATAGTGAGAGTGTGAGAGGGGAGGGAGAAATTCGAAGTGCGGGACCAAAAACTTTCGGAAAAGATTTTTGGAAAAACAACGGA